AATTCTTTTTCTTCTTCTCACAGTTTCCTTTGCGCCTGTCTGTCTCATCTCTCTACGCGGAAACTGATTTTTTCCATTTAATAATTATTTAGTACCAGAAGTTAATGATTTTTTTATTTTTTTTTATAAACTAAATAAATATCTGCAAATTAAATTTATTTATTGCGGCCATATAATTAAACACATTTGTTCATATTGTGCTGTGCTGCCGTCATGCTGACGTTGGTGATTTTGTTTCATTTGTTGCTTTGTGGGGGCTCTCTAGTCTTTATTCTCCAATCACCACTTGTAATGCATGCTTGTACCACAAGCTTTTATTTATTTCTTGCTATTTTTAATCTACGAATATTAATTAATTTATTTATGCTATTCTTTTTCTATTTATATAAATATGTATATAACTGTGCATGGGCATGTCTAATAGTGGTAAAGTGTGTCTAAATCGTGTATTTTAGGTGCCGAAATAGCTTACCTAATTAATAGTTGCTAATCGTAATCAAATTGACAATTTATATTAATTATTAGTCAAGATTCTGTGAGTATATTGTAATATTAATATATCTACTTTATTCAATCCTAACAAGGAATGAATTATTACTTGCACTTTAATTTGATCGAGCCCCATAAGATCCAAATCAATAGGACCAATAAACCGAGCCCTTGAAGAAATTATAGTCCAATAAAACTAAATAATCATCAACTATAAATACATAATATCACCATTATATTTCGGAAAGTATATGCATTTAATTTGTTATATATGGATTAAAGCTAAATAAAAGTTATGGTTTCTACTTTCGATTTATGACTTGAGCATCAGAGTCGTCGCTGACCACTTTCATCCGCAAAACTCTAGAAGTTTGCGTCGAGAATATTTTAAATTATGTATATTTTATTTGATTAGACATCAAACTAAGATATATATGATCATAAATAGTAGCTAGCAAAAAAACTCTTTAAAGAGACAAATAATATGGGATAATATGGAGTAGTTCTTAGTTGGAATCTCTTAGTCAACCTTAATTCAATGTCTACGTCACGGAATCTTTTGAAAATATGCATATTTATAAATTCAAATATGCATGTCACTAATTAAAAGAATGAACAATATTTTTATGTTTGGTTGTATAATTCGAATAAAATGCATGCAATAATCCAAGAGAATCAAACATGATTATTAATTGTAAATGGTCTCCAGGTATATGCTTAACTAGTATAAAAAAGAATTAGAAGTGATATTAAAAAGAAATAGCAAAAGAATTATTTTGCATGGGCTTTGCAAAAAAATTATATTAAAAAGAATTGAGTGGAAAAATAAAAATAAAAATAAAAAAGGGAAAAGGAGAATTGTGGGTGCCTCTCTGGCCCAATTGACTTTCCTCCTCCTCTCCTGTGTTTGGTGCTAATCCCTAAACGCGGTATTCTTCTGTCATGTCTCACGTGCGGTCGCCTAACATGTCCATCCACGTGGCATTCATGCATCACTATGGCAATGTTTGGAAGCGTTTTGGATCTTATTTTGATTTCATTTTGAGGAAATATGTTTTGGGGGAATAATTTGAGAATGAAAATAATGTTTGTTTGTATTTTGGAAGGAGACAAAATACACTGTAGAAGTCAAATCATGTTTAAATGTGTTAGAAAAAGGTATTTTTGAAGAAAAAAATTGAAAGATGAAGTGATGTTTATTTGTTTTTTAGTGAAGACATTTTTTACTGTAGCAGTCACATCATTTTACTGTAGCAGTCACATCATGTCTGAAGGATAGAGAAACTTTTGAAATTGTTTTGAGAAAATGATTTGAAAAGTGTAATAAATTTCATTTTGTTTTGGGGAAACAATGAAAACAAAATGGAAATGGTTCCAAACATTGCCTATCTATTTGAAAATGTGGGGCCCACTTGTGCCCTTTGTTCACACCGTCATCCGCGTCTTGCTAAATCACCTCTTTCCATCCCCTAATTTCTTAACGAAGTACTATTATATTAGGTTAACAATATTTGACAAGCTCGATCTAACGATAATTGACAAGAGGATTCGAATGAAAGAAATTTATTTAATTTTAAATCTAAAACATAGGACCATTTCTCGACTAATGCATGCCATCCTTGCGCTGGGGCCATGCTAATCTTCCTGTATCGTTCTCATTTTATCGGATGTCTGTGAAGGAACTTTTTACTTATAGGTGCACTGAGTGAACTTACACACGTATAATAGCTTGCAAATCGTACAAGAGATCTAATAAACTACACTAGGCTACTTATATGGGAAATTGGTTAACACTTTTTTTTAACAAATTACCGAAATAAGATTTTTTTTTTTTTTAACATGTTAAGATACTTGAGTTATAAATTTGGTCATTTTGATGTACCTTATGCAGCGAAAAAATCTCTTATCCCCACGCCCTATTTGACTTCCTTGAGCAACAATTTGTCTTTAATTCGTTGTATGATGGAAATTGTTGACAATTACTATATAGATTTTAAAGTATGACGTTTTGACTTATGGTGAAGACCACTTGAATTAAATTAGTTTCTTATAATTCTCCAAACACACAATCTGACATTTGACATTTGACTTATGGTGAAGACCATTCTAGTTTGTACTCGTTTTGTGTTAAAATACAGTTTCTGATGCGCCACAATCTGATATATACAAGCCGAAAAACACATATTACGATCATTTTGCTTCAAAATGTAGAGTTCGAATAAGATAAAATGAGTACGAAAGTGATAATACTCAATATAATCTTAAAGATTCCACTAAATTTGATGAGTTGATGGATGGTTGTAATTATCCAGACAAGAGGGGTTTTTTTATAATTTGACCATACCTCAGGGTTGGTTGTTACCTCTATATATATATATATATTATATTTGTGACACAATAATTCAGGACGAGTCACCTAAGTTAAAATGATTATAGAATAAATCAGATTTTGGGCTTTCCCATTGGGCCCAAATGGTGGAACGAGGCACCATCAATTTAGTCCAAATGATTTTCACTAAATAGCCCAATAAATAGTAAATAGAAAAAAATTAATCATGAAAACCAAACATCTATAAAATAATTTATCATGATATATAATGTACGTGCAGTAGCAAAGACAAATATATCAACAAGAATGTCGACTAGCAACTGACTTATCCGATCATCAGCTTCGACGTATCTCTTTGCTCACTGTCAATCAAACAAGACAATAGCAAAACAATCTCTCAGTACATTATCATTCAAAAAATATACTAGCAAAGCAATCGCCTTCCGATCCATCGAAGATTGAATGGCATGCAATTGCTAGACAGAAAAATACCTATTGCTTCAATTATCCGGGGAAATCACCGGAGCTAGAGCCAAGCCTTTATGCCACACAAACCCCTAAGTTGCATCATCAACCAGGCTCACAAGTGTAATAGAACGAAGCGTGCTTTATATCTAAACTATGTACAATACATTATATTTAAATATTAAATTGTGAATTTTAATTTTTTATCGACCAAATTCAAGTCTTACCTTATTGAAAAGACTTTCAATAATTTAATAATTTAAATTATTAAATTATGAATATAACTGTCTTATTTTGTTGATTTATATTGAATTAAAATTCTAATATAATTGATTTGAACTTTGAACTTTGAAATAATGTTTTGAAAACTGGACCATTAAGGTGATACGATATTCTTTAGCTACTTGCCTAATGAAAATACCGTATTTCCGATGTCTTTAGCTACTTGCCTAATGAAAAAGCTGTATTTTCGCAATAGAATGAGCTATATTTTATCTTTTAAGTCGACTATCTTTAGCTATTGTCTAGTGGAAAGTCAGTTTCGTACAAAAAATGAACTATTCTCTATCTTTTAAGGCGATGCGATATCGGTTAACTACTTGTCTAGTAAAAAGTCCGCCTCTCGGTCGTAATTATGCAAATGGAGAGCATTTTTTTTCGTAATATTTAGGCCTTGTCTCAAGGTACTTATAATTTTTTTTCTTTATTTATTTACTATTTATTTTAATTTATTTTTATTTTTATTTTTATTTATTAAATAGTTGTAGCCGCTCGCCAACTCATACTCCGACACTCCAACTCCCGTTCCGTTCATCAACCGACAAACTAATTTCACAGAAACCAGAAAACGATAATAATAAAACAAACAAACAAACAATTGCTATCATAGTTACAGCATATTATTATTATTATTAATATTCGTTAATATTTTTTTATTAATCATCACTCTCTCTCTCTCTACAAAATCATCTCAAAAATTCTGAACAGTTACATCACACACAGAAATTCCTTCACTCAATCCGTGTGAAAAAAAAAACCCACGCATTATCGTCCCCAGGTTCATCTCTACTCTTCCAAGGGTTTCGGTTTCACATTTCAATCATGTGAAAAGCCTAGATTCTACTTCTGTTAGGGTTAGGGTTAGGGTTTATGCTCGATTGACAAAATTCAGAGTCCTGATTTCGAATGGGTAACTGCTGCAGATCTCCGGCGGCCGTCGCCAGAGAAGACGTGAAGTCAGTCAACTTCTCCGGCCACGATCACGGCCGGAAAGATAAATCATCCGGCAACGTTAAGAAAGTGGTCACCGTTCTGACGGAGGTGAAGAAGGAAAACATCGAGGAGAAGTACGTGGTCGATCGGGAGCTCGGCAGAGGAGAATTTGGGGTTACTTACTTGTGCATTGAGAGGGATACGAGGGAGTTGTTGGCCTGCAAGTCGATATCGAAGCGGAAGCTTAGGACAGTTGTTGATGTGGATGATGTAAGAAGAGAGGTTGCGATAATGAAGCATTTGCCTAGGGATTCGAGCATTGTGAGCTTGAAGGAGGCTTGTGAGGATGAAAATGCAGTTCACTTGGTAATGGAATTGTGCGAGGGTGGGGAATTGTTTGATAGGATTGTGGCTCGTGGGCATTATACGGAGAGGGCTGCTGCTGCGGTGACGAGGACGATTATGGAGGTCGTGCAGCTGTGCCACGAGCATGGGGTTATCCATAGGGATTTGAAGCCGGAGAATTTCTTGTTTGCGAACAAGAAGGAGAATTCGCCTCTTAAAGCCATCGATTTTGGATTGTCTATTTTCTTCAAGCCAGGTACTGAAATAGTTCCGATTGATTTTAATCGGAAAGTTGTTTACTTTGTTTGATTAGTTGTTAGTGGGTAAAATGGTGTATGTGTGATTGTATTATCGTTCATATTCACGGATGCTTGAGGAGATATTACTTTTAAAGAAATTAGCAAGCAGGATAATGATGACATCATACAGTATATCTGTTGGAGATTGAACCAAATGAGAATATCATTTTCCTCTTTAAGGAATGAATACTACTCTCGTATCACCTGTTATTTCGTGGATATTTAATCTTATGTGCAAACTTTTTGTGAATTAGAGTTGGGAATACATGTGATCTTGTGAGATGAACCGAAGGTTGATGTCTTTGTTTTTATTTCTGATTAAGTTCTCTTACTATCTCCGTCCGTAAAGCGTTTGTCAAAATTCAGTTACTGAAATACTAATTTTGTCAGATATGGATGCAAGATATCTATTTACTCCCCCTCTTCGTAGTTACTGAAATACTAATTTTGTCAGGCATAGATTTAAAGTTTTTCTTCTTTTGGGCACTTACCATTTCCTTTTCTTGCCATATTTCTTTACACAGCCAAAATAAAAATTAGCACTTAATTTGCACCCACTAAGCAAATATGTTTATTCGTCATATCCAGATATGTTGTATTTACTTAAATAATTATATAGTTCTTTAAATTTATTGATCAAGTCTGGGCATCACGGAGTTAGGTTGTCCATTTTAAGTCTTCTCTCTAGTCGTAAAGGACCTGCAGGAGGTAATCCGCTTGTTTCCTTTCCCTTAAGGTTGATAAACCCTCTGGTTACACAATTAATCAACTCCCACCCCAAACATATGCTATAGTTAAGAATCGGCAAATTCCCCTAGTAATCATTCTATTACATATTGATCAGCTCCACAAAATTTCCTCTTAAAGTGTCATGGCAAATCTCTTGCTACTATTTTTTGGATTATTCTTTCTAATGTTCTTGAAAGAAAGTGCATGTGAATAATGCGTTCGATCTGTTTTTTTTGGAGCTGAAGTGTGTTTTTCCAAGAAAGTTGGTATGTATGAGTACATGGAGTTCAAAGAAATTTCATATGTGATACTTTCAGGCCTAGTTTCTTCAAGACCCGACTGCCCAATTCTAGGGGTTTGAACCCCAACAAATGCAGTCCCTGGGTGTTTTGATATAAAAATATCAATCATTGTACATTTTTCAATTTTTAATAGCCTTTTTATGGTTTATGCGCTCACTGATAATTTCGTATCTGAGTTTGTTGACATCAATTTTTAATTTGGTCTTTGGCACCTCGTGTAGAATTTTATGTTGTATTGATTTTTTTGACTCAGACATGTTTAGATATGTTCGATTATGTTTCTAATCCAACAATGCTCTCGTATTGCTATGATGATGTTAATATATTTTATTATGTTAAAAAAGTTACGACTCTACAATTTGACTAACTCTTTGGTTCTAGGTGAAACGTTTTCTGAAATTGTGGGAAGCCCTTACTACATGGCCCCAGAGGTGCTCAGGCGAAATTATGGGCCAGAAATAGATATCTGGAGTGCTGGGGTGATTCTCTATATCTTGTTGTGTGGAGTTCCTCCTTTCTGGGCTGGTAACTTACTTTTCCCTTTTTATCTTCTCTCTTCTTTATGCGCGCACACACACACACACATACATACATATATGCCTCACTGACTGTTCCCACGACAGCTAGTTCTGATGAGTAGATGTAACTTTTTTCTAGTAATGCAAAGATTACATGTTATGGGATTTAAAAACAAAATTTGATATTCAATTTCTTCCTCATTTATGCGTTATGTGGCTCTCGTATCTATAGAATATGAAATATCCAAGATGATTAGACTTTTAAGCAAATTTTTTGCACAGAATCCGAGCAAGGTGTTGCCCATGCCATCATACGTGGGAAAATAGACTTTGAACGCGAACCGTGGCCAAGTGTATCGGAGGGTGCCAAGAGCCTTGTAAAACAGATGTTGGAGCCAGATGCTAAGCTTCGATTGACAGCGAAACAAGTTCTTGGTACATTAGCTTTATGCTTGTTCATTCATACTTTGGCTTGCCGTTACAATTTCATCTTCTTTATTGAATTTGTTTTGTGTAGTTCATGCTGAGACGGTTAGTAATTAGTATATTGTGTGTTTAAGTTTAACCTATGTACTTCTTAGGCTACACCGTATCATTTCAGGCATGTGGAGCATCTTTATGCATTCAGAGTTTGGTTAATGCTTTTCAGTTTAACAAGATGTCATTTGGTTTGTGAATATGTAGATATATATTTGTATTTGTAGCTTATAGCTATATAACCATCATCTCACATTATGATAGGAGAAGTTGTAAGACTGTTGGACCAGTTATTTGTCTTAGTGAATCTGTTAACGCGGAATCTTCGTGGTTTAAAATGGATGTGTTGTGTAAAATGTTATATGTTGAATGAATGTTTTATGCTGCTGACAGAACATCCTTGGATTCAAAATGCGAAAAAGGCTCCCAATATTCCTCTTGGAGATGTTGTCAAATCAAGACTGAAGCAATTCTCATTGATGAACAGATTCAAGAGGAAGGCTCTTAGGGTTAGTTGATGATTATATCTTTGTTGGGTTTTTTTTTTCTGCAACAATTATTTTGCTAGAAATATTTGTAAAATGTGTTTTTCCCAATTAGGTGATTGCCGATTTTTTATCTAATGAAGAAGTTGGAGGCATGAAAGAAATGTTTACTAGAATAGACACTGATGGCGATGGTATTGTTTCAACTGAAGAACTAAAGGCTGGATTGCACAAGTCCAATTCGCAACTGGCTGAGTCTGAAATAGAGCTTCTCATTGAAGCTGTAAGTCTGCCGCTTATAACCCAATGCAAATACAGTTTCATGAATTTGCAATTTTAAATTCTAGTTATTAGTTTCGAGTTTATGTACATGATTGTCACGGTTGTATGACTGTATAGTTGTTTTATTCAGTGCGGTCATGCTTCTAATCATGAAACTAAACTGTTCGTTTATAATGTCTTTTGTGTTCGATTTTGTTCCAACAGGTTGATGCAAATGGTAAAGGAACATTGGACTGCGGAGAATTTCTTGCTATTACACTCCATATGCAAAGGATAGCCAACGACGAGCATCTTCACAAGGCTTTCTCCTTTTTCGATAAAGACGGAAATAATTACATCGAGCCCGATGAGCTTCGAGAAGCTCTAATGGAAGACGGAGCAGACGATAGTGCTGATGTGGCGAACGACATTTTCCAGGAGGTCGACACGGATAAGGTGAAAACTAGATCCTCAGTTATTGATCTTATCTAGCAAATAATTAGAAAAAGAAAAAGAGAATATATTTGTGACTGCATTTCACCATTGATTGCAGGACGGACGAATCAGCTACGATGAATTTGTGGCGATGATGAAAACTGGAACAGATTGGAGAAAAGCTTCGCGACATTATTCGAGAGGAAGATTTAATAGTCTCAGCATAAAATTGATGAAGGATGGTTCTATTAATTTGGGTGAGTAAATATGCAGGAATTGAACTTGCATTGTTCTTTTTTTTTTTTTACCCTATTGAGGTAATGTAATATTTAATTTACTCTATGAAACACATAATCAATACATTTTTAAGAACACATACATGTAATCCAGTGGTGTTCAGATATGGTGGTAATTGCATGATAAATATAGAAAATGTACACGTGGACCGGGCAATTTAATTAGACGTATAAACCAAAATAATATATAGTCTTGTATTACACGATCCCAACATATATAATGTATAACATGTTAAATTAATATATTCGCTAAATTAATAAGATAAGATAATGCACATTCGACAATTTTAAGAAGTCTCATATAATATATAAATTAATAATGCATAAAATTAATTGTTAAATTACATAGTCCAATGCATATTTTATAGATCTATGAAGACTTAATAAAATATAATTTAATTGTCGGTTGTTTCTTCTTGAAGTATTATCACCATCACCCTCGTTCCTCACTTTTCTTAACATGATTAAAACTTTTAGTTTTGTTATTGTTCATTACCATTGTTGCTTTAAGAGCTTCCGTTCAGGAAACGGGCTCTATAGTACATTGAACTAATGGTACAATGAATAATATATACGTAACACCCGCAAGGGTGGCCTAGCGGTTGGAAGCAAGGGAGCTTGGGTCAATTGACCCAAGTTCTAATCCCCTTGCCAACGGTCGCTAGGTCGAGCTTGTCACACATGGTTAGCCTAGTGTCGCTGGTTTAAATCTCTCGTATGGTTTGCAAACTATTATACGAGAGTGTAGGTTTACCCAGTGCACCTATATGGTTGGCTGCGGGTTCCTGCATTATCAAAAAAATAATATATACGTAACAAAATTAAAAAATGTATTTATAGAAAATAATAATAAAAATAAGTTCATAAATTAATAAGTTATTAATTAATGTATAAATTATCAATTATTAATTTATCGATAAGTTAATATTTCACGGATAATAGAATTTTGATGGTCCCAATTGTATTAATTTATAAAGGTTTAACTGTAATCAATCATAAAAACAAGCTGTGGTAAACGAGCAGAGCCGATTCATTAGCTCAATGATCCGGCTCGAAAAAGCTCGACTCAAACTCGAACTCGAGTATTTTGAGCTCGAGCTTTCTAACGAGCAGAGCTCGAGCCTGTTTTTAGTTGTTCATGAGCTCGCGGAGCCTTATTTATTATATTTTTTTATTATTTCTTTATATATTAATTGTTTATATTAATAAATATACATAATTACAATTTATTGTTTATTTTGTAAGTTTTTAAAATAATTTTTAATAATAATAAAATAACAATTAAAAAAGTATTAAAAAAACAAAACAAAACAAAATGAGCTTCGGCTCGAGCCCAAGCAAAAAAAAGAGCGATCTCAAAAGAGGTAAGCTCGTCTCGTTCACACCCCTAATAAAAACCACACATGTATAAACATAAATTTATCATGATAAATTTATATATATATATATATATATATATATATATATATATATATATATATATATATATATATATATATATCTTTGCACAATAACAACCTCAAAATGAGATGTATCATAAACAATATAAAAACGTATTATTTAATCATACAACAAAAATGCAAATGACTATAAAATCTAACTTAAAGAACAATTTATGATTTAATAATTCAAATAAATGCAAGTTTGCCTATAAAATTTTAACTTATAGAACAATTAATTCAATGTGATTGGGTAGTTGTCCTGCAAGCTGTTGTTTTTTAACTTATAGAACAATTAATTCAATGTGATTGGGTAGTTGTCCTGCAAGCTGTTGTTTTGCGTTCTTCCTCGCTTTTCTTTCCATATTTAACTCGTCTTCAAAACTTGATCCGGAGGGATCGATAATTAATTTCTCAAGGACAACACAGTTCTCTACAATGTAGAGGACTAATTCAACTTCATTTGTCCGACCATAATAGCCACAAAATTTGAAGACTTTAAGGTGATTGTGAGGAAAACTTATTTCATCCTTCACCGGAAAACTTATAACATCCTTCACTAATCTATCTCTGCTTCGAAGATCATCCCACTTGTACTGCATTTCAACAAAGTAACAAAGTAAGGTCTACTTGATGTAAAAATATAATTAATCTCCTCATAAATGCGTGTTTTAAAGATTAATCTGTAGTAGTAGTATCAGCTCTGTTTTTGGCTCACGATACAAAAGTTGTAACATAAGAGGAGTAC